TTTTTTTTTTTTTTTTTTTTTTCGGTACGCAGGCCTCTCACTGCTGTAGCCTCTCCGGTTTTGGAGCACAGGCTCCGGACGCGCAGGCTCAGTGGCCATGGCTCACGGGCCCAGCCGCTCCGCGGCATGTAGGATCTTCCCGGACCGGGGCACGAACCCATGTCCCCTGCATCGGCAGGCGGACTCTCAACCACTGCGCCACCAGGGAAGCCCTATTTTTAGTTTTTTAAGGAACCTCCCTACTATTCTCCATAGTGGCTCCACTGATTTACATTCCCACCAACACTGTAGGAGGGTTCCCTTTTCTCCACACCCCATTTAGCAGTTTCTTATGTGTCCTTCAGGAGATGTTCAATAATGTGCAAACACATAGGAAATACAAATGCATTCTGTTTTAACTATTTTGTGCCACTGGGTTAACAAGCAGAGGCTGCAGATTTCTGGGGTGGGAATGGGGGCTGTGATCTGGATTGAAGACAAAGTGACAGCCTCTCCCAAGCTCAGAACTGGGCCAGGTGAAGCTGGAAGGGCAGGGTCTTGACAAAGCCTCTCAGCCCCAGGCTGGCTCTCCAGGCTGCTTTAAGCGACCTAAGGATTGTTTGGACGCTGCGTGGAGGTGGCAGTGACCTCTATGGGATCCCAGGTTGCACCTCTTCCATCTCAGCCCAAGCTTCAGAGGGCACATTTACATAGAGGGCTTTACTTCCCCTCCTCTGTTTCTTAAAAATGAAATGAATGCTGACATCACACCACTCCCCCTTCCTCCAGATGTTTAGGCAGTGTCCCCTCCTCACCTGGCACCATTCCACCCTGTGAGACCTGCTCCTGCACAGCTAGCCCCTTCCTTTGCCTGTCCTCCCCTCAGTTTAGCTTCCCAGGGTGTAACATTGGGTTGATTTCTTGTCCCCTTCTGTTAGCTCCCGCCCTACCTGTGGCCTCTTATGCTTCAGGCTCCCTGCTAGGCCCAATAGCCAGTGCTCTGGGAAAGGTACTTTAGATCCATAACATCAGTAGCCTTGGGGGATCAAGTGAATATATGTGATGTATATTCTATAAATATTCCCCCACTCTGTACTACAAAATTCTCTCCAAAACTGAGTTGACAGATTGAACAAATAAAAATACAGACTGCACAGTCAAATTTGAATTTCCGAGAAACAGCAAATAATTTTTAGTGCAGCATGTCTGGGGCAATCATTAATTTGTATTTAATCTGCCAACTCTATTCCAAAACCCAGTTGAGCAGTTAAATTAAACAATTCTTCTCATCTGCATGTCTTTGCCCTAAAAACAAAGTTCTAATCCTCCCTTCAATGACTGTGGCCCACGCACAGCAAAACACCCACCAATTTTAAAACTGGGCATTTTGAGTACTCTTGGGCCTGCACAGGAAGCTTTTCAAAGTGGTTGCTAGGCAGCGGATCTCAACTCTGGAAAACATTTTTCAAACTCTGTCAGTACTGCTTGGTGAGAGTAGCTTGGTAATGAGCCCAAACGGGTATGTTTTATAGAGCTTTACTCTGTTACCATTTTTCTTCCAATTTAAAATCTGTAGCAAAACTGAATTTAAATAACCCTTCTAAAAAGCTTTGCCTTTTAAATCAAATGCCAGAATGTCTAGGTAAACACAGAATTTAATAATCACGGATTTAATTTATTTCAGCTGCTTGTCCCTGCTGAATTTTTGAGATAGGTAAGACTGGATTTCTTCCAAACAAATCTGGGTAGGAGAAAACTTGAAAATATCGGCCAGTTTTAAGTATCCCCACATGATTCCTGATACAGTTTTACCTGGAAAATGGAGGGCACACAGCAGAATTTTTTTTTATCTTGACTTCTCTTGCAAACACCAAATACTTCATACAAAAGGAACAGTGTGGCCTATTCAGACAACTCTTTGTTCAAATTACTTAACAAACTTCATAAACAAGAGTTATGATTCTACATACCATTTTGATAATTCAGAGAAAGGACAGGGTCCAGAAAAGGACAGAAAAGAAGGGGGCATAGACACTGGGAAATTATCACCAAGGGAAATTAGTGATGGTATCACCCCTAACCCAGTTTCCCCAAAAAAGAACACAACTCTCCTTAGAGCATGTTCACCATATTTCACTATTAAGATTGTATTAAGAGCAGACTTCTAATTATACAAAGCAGAATTAAACCATACCTGTATCTTTGTTTAATAAAGTATTCTCTTTTACTATCTTACCTGTCCCAGGCATCGAAGAATGGGAACAAAGCAAAGAATTACGGAAATTTAGAACTAAAAGGAACCTTTTTCCTTAATTGGTGCTCAGATTTTGTGAAGAAATAATTTAAATGTTTAAATTTGCTAATAAATGATGTACAATTAGGTGGAACCATATGAAATTGCTGGTAATTGACTCTTTTTGACTTATAAAAATGGCAATTCCATTTGATTCTACCTAGTGCTATGCAGATGTTAGAAAAATATATGGTGGCTCTATAAGTACTGGTATAGAATGGTATCCCACGTAAATGATAAGAACCCCGTTATAGGATACTAGTGTGTGTATGGGTGTCTAGTGTATGTGGGGATATATATGCCTGTTTATGTCCCACCATAAATCTGAAAATTTATGAAATACACAAACTGTTAACAGTGAATGCCTCTAGAGGGCCAAGTGGGAAATTAGAGACAAGAGCAGGGGGTATTTTTTACTTTTGTACAACCCCAATTTTAATACCACATAAATGTATTAAAAGTTTAAAAGAAAAAAAAATACCAGATTGGAATTAACATATATACACTAATATGTATAAAATGGATAACTAATAAGAACCTTATGTGTAAAAAAATAAATAAAATAAAATTCAAATAAATAAAATACCAAACCAGCAAGGAAACTACTGTTTAAAGAGGTGAAGGGTCTGTCCAAGCCATGCAGTGACCTCAGACTAGAACCCATTGAAGAAACTGGCTGCTCAGTTGCTTATGTCATCCCTACAATTCAAAGAACAACAGTGAACAGGAGCTTCTGGGGCCTGACCAGTTCAGGGAGTCACTCTCCACCTGACTTTGTGGTTTACCTGGGATCTTAATCACTCTAGTTCAATGGAGAGCTTCCCCCTCAAAACACAGTATCACTGGAGGGTAAATAGATCAGATGTAAATCATTCTTCCTGCAGTTGTGAATTAGCAGATTGGATGCTGCTGGAAAAAACTGGCAGCAAGAAGGAAGCCCTTCCTCTCGAACAAATGTCACCGTTTCCTTAGGTCCTGTCGAGAAGAGTCCTCTGAACCATTTTCAACAAGATCTAATCCTTTTCTCATTATGATCTTTTTTCTTTAGGCTAGAGTAGGAGACAGTAGCCTAAAGGACAACTTTATTCTAATTATTTGCTGTTCAAGATAGGGGAAGAGTTAATTAGGAATTCATTTTTGTACAGTCATCTGTCAGATCTCCTCTGCTCCCCGCCCCACTTCTGTGTCCCATTTTCCCCAGCCATTGGACTGGCCTCATCCAAATTATTCTAATTGAACCACTGTTTCTCAAGCTGTGCTGAGGAGGGGGAACAATTTCATTTTGCAGTTGAAGAAACTACGGTCTTCAAGATGAAGTGTCCTCATTCCCACAGTTGGAAAGTGGCAGACACAAACTGAAAACCCAGCTGCCTGACTTTCAGCCAAGTGTCCCTGGTCTTGAAATAAAGCCACTTATTTCTCCCTTTCCCTCCAGCAACTGTCCTATTTCTCTCCTCCCTTTTCCTGTCAAAATTCCCACACTTGCAGTTAGGTGCCTGTACTAAGTTTTCACGCTGACTGCTTTCTCCAGAAGCCCTGCATGTTGGCTTTTATGCCCACCAAGATGGGAAGGGCTGGTTGAAAGGGCACTAAATGAGCAACCTGGCTAGCGTTAGATGCCATCTGGGCTTGTCATACCTACTTTCTTTACTACTGTATCTACAGTGAGCCCAGAGCCTGCTACCAGCCAGGAGCCAAATAAATACTAGCTGACAAACAGGACTACTGATCTGACTTTCCTCTCAGAAACTCTTCCTTTCTAAGGCTTTAGCGTTTCTCTTCCTGATTGGATGACCTCCCTTGGTTTGCCTGCTGTTCCTCGGGACGTTAATTGATCAATCTGTTCATTACTGAAGACCTATAGGAGATAGAGAAAAAACTGACAATGGGGTGCTTACATTTTATTTGTGAAAAAGATGAATATAAATGAATAATGGAATCACAAATAAAATCAATATAATGGTGTAATAGTTATGAGGCAGATTGGAGCAAGACTGCGTGGGTACTTAACCTCTCTGCGTTTTAGTTTCCTCATCCATAAACTGGAGACAGTGGTAGTTTCTACCTCATAAGATTGTGGTGATGGTTAAGTCATTTAACACACTTAAAGCAGTTCAACAAGGGTCTGGTATATTGTAAGTGCTCAAAAAAGCGTTTTAAAAAACACAGGGTAATATATAAATCATTATTATAAGAGCTGTAAGAAAGTCTCTCTTTTTTTTAACATCTTTATTGGAATATAATTGCTTTACAATGCTGTGTTAGTTTCTGCTGTATAACAAAGTGAATCAGCTATACATATACATATGTTCCCATATCTCCTCCCTCTTGCGTCTCCCTCCCACCCTCCCTAACCCACCCCTCTAGGTGGGCACAAAGCACTGAGCTGATCTCCCTGTGCTATGCGGCTGCTTCCCACTAGCTATCTATTTTACATTTGGTAGTGTATATATGTCAATGCTACTCTCTCACTTCGTCCCAGCTTACCCTTCCCCCTTCCCGTGTCCTCAAGTCCATTTTCTACGTCTGTGTCTTTATTCCTGTCCTGCCGCTAGGTTCTTCAGAACCATTTATTTAGAAAGTCTTTTTTTAAGACCTTTTTTTCCCAGTGAGAACTAATCAATTCTCAAAACCTCTTTTTCAAATATCCTTTCCAGATTTTTTCTTTGTCATTTTGACTCATCACTTCATTGTACCAGGGATACTAAGCCTGTCCAGGATATTTAAGATCTGAGAAAGGGAGAATTGAGGAGCCCCACCTAACAGCCAGCACCAACCAACCGTCGGACGAGTGAGTGAGGCTCTGTGTGCCCTTCCAATCCAGCCTACCCCACAGTTGGCAGCAGCAACGTGCGAGAGCCCCGGGAGACTTGCAGGAGAAGCAGAAGGACACACCACACCAGCCCACAGAATGGTGAGGAACAGTAAATAATAAAATTTGCTATGTTAAGCCTCTAAGTGGTAAGGTGGTTTGTTTCACAGCAAAGTATAATTGAAATACCACCTTTAATTTTGGTACCAGAGGTGGACATGCTAACGTTTTGAATATTACAAATCTCAGTATTAAGTATTTACACATAGCTATTTGCATTTTAAAGAACTCGGGACTTCCCTGGTGGCACAGTGGTTAAGAATCCACCTGCCAATGCAGGGGACACGGGTTTGATCCCTGGTCCGGGAAGATCCCACATGCCGTGGAGCAGCTAAGCCTGTGCGCCACAACTACTGAGCCTGCACTCTAGAGCCCGCAAGCCACACTACTGAAGCCCGTGAGCCTAGAGCCCATGCTCCGCAACAAGAGAAGCTACCGCAATGAGAAGCTCGCACACTGCAGCGAAGAGTAACCCCCGCTCTCCACAGCTAGAGAAAAGCCTGCATGCGGCAATGAAGACCCAACACAGCCAATAAATAAATAAATAAATTAAAAAAAAACCTCAAAGTAGGACATTCTGCATAATGTGTTTAAAAGTAGCTCTTCTCCCCCACTTATCATGTTTTGAATTTCTGTATGAGTAATTGTATATCTACACTATTATTTTTGGTGGTTGCATTTTACATCATGATTTACTAGTGAGTCGTCGTCTTTTTTTTTTTTTTTTTTTAGCGGTACGCGGGCCTCTCACTGTTGTGGCCTCTTCCTTTGCGGAGCACAGGCTCCGGACGCGCGGGCTCAGTGGCCATGGTTCACGGGCCCAGCCGCTCCGCGGCACGTGGGATCTTCCCGGACCGGGGCACGAACCCGTGTACCCTGCATCGGCAGGCGGACTCTCAACCACCGCGTCACCAAGGAAGCCCTACTAGTGAGTCTCCTAATGATAAATCTGCTTCTAATCTTTTGCCACCATAAGAAATGCTTTGACGGACATCTTTGAACAATATACTTCTTTTTACACATCAAAGATTATTTCCTCAGGATTATTTCCTGTGTATGGAATTACTAGGTTGAAGATTTGCCTGTTTTCAAGGTTTTGATTAAGTATCATCTAATTGCTCTTCAGAAAGGTTGTTTACATTGTTACCATGAATGAGTCAGAACCCTCTTTTGCCTGCACTTTTACCAACAGTGTTTTTTTTTTTTAATCTTTGTTGGTCTAATGGACTATGATCTCATTACTGTTTTAGTTTTGTTATTACTATTGGGCCTGAGTGTGTTTTAATGTATAGAAGGCACTTGTGTCTCCTCTAAAATTTGTATTCTCACTCTGCTCATTTTTCCACCGTTATCTTTTCCTTATAGATTTGTGAGTGATGCTGATATAACGCTTTGTCTGCTATGTATATATTTAAATATTTTTCTGTAATTTCCTTCCAAGAGAAGATTTCCCTCAGATTTTATGGGCTTAGGTGGATTTTTTTAATGCACAAACAAATCTGTTTATTTTTATTTATTTATTTTATCTCTGAGACTGGTGTTATCAGATTTATTGTTTTAAAAGATAGCAAAGTTTAAATATAATACTTTCAGAGAGTGTCAGATGTTATCTAAGTAAAATCCAGACCCCTCAGTTTATGTAACACACCACATCCTATTCTCCCCACATTTAGCCAAATCTATCTCCCACAACTTCTAAATGCCAATTCCCTGTTCTTGTGATTTTAGTTTCTGGTATGTGGAGCTCACGGGCTCTGGAGCCTGACAGATCTGAGTTAGGATTATGACTCAACCACTTTCCAGCAGTATGAGAAGAGCTTTTAGAGCCTCAGCTTCTTCATTATTTAAGTGGAGACAGGATTAATTTGAGATTAAATTAGTTCCTGCAATATAGTTGGCACTTAATAAATATTAGTTCCCAAGCCATGCCCCCATGTTTCTGCTCATGCTGGGACATGTCTCTCAGATGTCCTTCTCTTCTTCTCTATCTCGTGATGTTTTATCTATTCTTCTGATCCACTTCTACCCAGACTCCTTCACAGAGGCTTTCAGAGAACAGAGAGCTTATCATACACCTTACTCAGCTTAGGTGCCTTAATTTTTTATTTTAATGTTTCAGATGTTGTTAATCACCAAGTTATAAACTTCAGGAAGGCTTGGCTCAGTGCTTGGCACTTAAATGCACCCAATAAGTATTAGTGGTTAGGACTCTGTGCTTTCACTGCTGGGACCTGGGTTCGATCCCTGGTCTGGAAACTAAGATCCTGCAAGCCTCATGGTGTGGCCAAAAAAAAAGAATGCATGAGATTTAACTTCAAGGTAATAACACTAGTTAGCAAATTGCACTTTAAAATTAGCCTAATTATTATTCCAGACACATAATTGGTGATAAGTGCAAATTTGTTTAGTAAATGTAGCAATAATTGGTATCTCAGCCTCTAAGACCCTGTATTATACCACTGAATATTTTAATAGTTCAATATGTCATTGGGGGGAAATGGGTGAAGGTGGTCAAAAGGTGCAAACCTCCAGTTATAAGAAAAGTAAGTTCTGGGATGTAATGTACAGCATGGTGATTACAGTTAACAATACTGTATTGTATACTTGAAAGTTGCTAAGAGAGTAGATCATAAAAGTTCTCATCACAAGAATAAAAACTTGTAACTATGCAAGGTAATGGATATTAACTAAACTCATTGTGGTAATCATTTCACCATATAGTAAGTCCCCTACATACAAACCTTCAAGTTGTGAACTTTCAGATGTGAACGTGTGTTCCATCAACGTCAGGCATGAGTGAAATTGCAGCTTGCCCTCCATATCCTATTGCTGATTATCCTTCAGCTCTACCATCTCCCACCTCGTCTCCCTCCTCCAGTCAGTAACTCTTGCCTGTTCACTTGATGCCAGCCCCTGGATGCCAGCTGTTGTGCTGTACCACTGTACTTTTCAAGGTACTGTACTGTGAGATTAAACATGTTTTCTTTATTTTTTGTTTGTTTTTTATGTGTTATTTGTCTGAAAAGTATTATAAACCTATTACAGTACAGTACTATATAGCTGATTGTGTTAGTTGGGTACCTAGGCTAACTTTGTTGGACTTACGAACAAATTGGACTTATGGACATGCTCTCGGAATGGAACTCGTTCGTATGTACGGGACTTACTTGTATATATGTATATCAAATCATGTTGTACACCTTAAACTACTACAATGTTATATGTCAATGATATCTCAGTAAAACTGGGAAGAAATTAAAATTTTTTCATTAAAAATATATACCATCAGAATTTACCAGTGGAATGTATCATTCCTAATAGTTTAACATACTGTATTTCTCCAATTCTAAGAAGTACTTTGGTCTCACATTGTAACATCTCTGAAACTGGGATGTGTCTTACTATTAAAGAAACAGCTAATAGCCAGGTGGCAGTCCTGATATAGTTGGCATTGCCTTGGTATTTGTGAACATGGTTATAACTACTCGAATTTCATCATTTTACTGAGTTCTGTGCAATTTAATACTACATTTGTCAAAGCCATACGCTAAGAAATGCAGTTGAAGGCAGGAGAAATAGCCAGATGTGTCAGATTAGATGAAAGAAATTCCAAAACAACAAGAGGCTAATATAACCAATTCATGTATCACACAGGTCAATAGTGAAGGCCTGGAACTTGTTTGTCAGAAACTTCCTTCTGGGGCTTCCCTGGTAGCGCAGTGGTTGAGAGTCCGCCTGCCAATGCAGGGGACACAGGTTCGTGCCCCAGTCCGGGAAGATCCCACATGCCACGGAGCGGCTGGGCCCATGAGCCATGGCCACTGAGCCTGCACGTCCGGAGCCCCTGCTCCGCAACGGGAGAGGCCACAACAGTGAGAAGCCCGCGTACCGGAAAAAAAAAAAAAAAAGAAACTTCCTTCTGGCCATTAATAGAGAGGCTACATAAGTTGTAGTGACATATAATTCAGATGAACAAGAAAACTATGCTTTTAGTCAAATAGGATTATGCCAGCATCAAACTTGAAGAATGAGTGTCTGGCTAGGAAGCAAATCTCAGAGACAAGGCTAGGACATCCTTTTAAGAAATGCTATATTATCAATGATATTGTGTGGAAAAACACACTTATTGATGCTCTGTGTGAAAAGGGATTCAGGAGAATTAGACTCTGTGTACAGAATTTGTAGAAATACTTTAATCAATTTATTTTGCTTATATTTTCCTTTTCTAAATATGCACATTACTGAAAAATTTATACCTAAGTCTAAAAGCACTGTTTCAGTAAGTATTAAAAAGATCCTATGTGACAACACATTGTGTCATAGTTTAATTCGCAGCTCTTTTTCTTTCTCAGTGGTACATACAATCAAAGATGTCCTAGATTTGAATAGATGTGGTAAATTGAATGGAGGCTAAAATGGGCAGTAGATCTGTGAATTTCCAAGCTTCCCTTAGTGAAGGAACAGAGCTTGGTGTTTTGTCGTTGTTCTTGTTTTGGTGGGTATCATGTTGTTGCTTAGGAATGAGGTAGGGAGATCCTGCGATTTCTTCACAATTATCAGTTAGGCTTGTTTTCAGAACCAACATAATTTGAAGAGAAGCTAGCTTCTCACATCACCATTTACAACTTCTTAACGTAAGTCACAAACTGCATTCTGAATTAGGTAACACTTCATTTGTCATTAGCTAAGCACTTTTAAAATTAAATGTATTATATTTTTCCAATATAAAAGTAATATGGGTTAGTATAGAAAATGTCCTATATTAAAAAGTGGGTAGGTATAAGTATGTAAGCAGCCATATTTCTTCCAACCAAAATATTTGGTAAATTTGTTTTTTTAGAAAAATTTCTTATAAATGTTTTGATGCCATTTCTTCTAGTTTACAAAAATATCTCAGATCAAAGTAACATATATTTAATGTACAGTATTTGGAAAGTATAGCAAAGTATAAATAAGCATGAAAAACATCAGGTCTCACCACCACCCAGAGAATGCCTCTTAATATTTTTGGCCATCACATTCAACCTGTCCAGGGCAAACAGGAGCATTCAGTGGGTGCTCGATACATCCTTACTGAATGCGTGAATGCCAAAAAAGAGAACTTGGAGAACAGCCCATATGTCTTGCTAACAGAATTAATTATACAGATCTTATGGTCTAAAAATCATCTGTCTTCTCAACTTTGCCTTATGCTTCTCACATAGCTGGAGCTTGTCCAGGACACAACCAACTTTCTACCACTTGGCAATGGAGCACCCTGGGGCAGTTGGCCATTGTCCTCACATCACTCCTCTCATTCATTCATTCGTTCATTCAACAAATATTTGTTAAGTGCCCTCTATATGCCTGGAATACAGAGGGGGTAATAAAGAAACATGGCCCCTGCCCTCTTGCAGCTTTCAGTCAAAAGAAGATAAAACAGATAAACAAAAATGAATACATGATTAAATATATTTGCGTATTGTGGCAAGTGGAGAAAAGGAAGAGAACAGGTGGCTGGGAAAATAAATAAGCCATAATCTGATTCAAGAGGGAAGGCCTCTCTGATGGAGTGACAGGTCAAAAGGTCAAGGAGGAACAAAAGTGAAGATTCTGAGGCTGTCAAACTTTAAGTGGGTGTGGCTTAAAAACACTGAAGGAACAAGTGTTGCGGGGAAAAGACTGGGCTACAGACGTAAGCACTTCCTGTAGGGCCTCATAAGCTATGTAGAGGATTTTGAGTTTTATTCTGTGTATGCTTAGAAACCAATAAGCTTTTTTTTTGTAATTTAAATTGCGTTTACTTTTAATAGGTAACATTCGCAATCCAAAGTATACAAGATACAAAGATTATTGAATGAAAACACTCCCTCCCTCCAGTTTCCTAGGCACCCAGTTTCCCCTCCCCCGAGCTGGCTGTAAGTATACCTCCGGAAATACTCCAGGCACAAACAAGAAAACTTATCAGTCTGTAAGATATTTTAAGCAGGGGAGCAAGGCATCGGATTTGTATTTTAAGACAACCTGAATGCTGAGAGGCGTCTGGCTTTCTGCGTTCAGAGCTTCCCGCTCCAGCTCACGCATTTCACAGACCCTACTCTGCTCGGCATTCCGGGTTTCTACCGGGGAGATCCCCGGGGGGCCCAGGGCTTCGTAAATTACATTCTGGCAGGGCTCCCACGCTCGTTCCCACGCTGTGCTCCAGGCAACGGACCTGCGCGCTCGAAGCTCCCACGCCGCCCCTTTCCCGCATCTCGCGGCCCGGAACCCGGTAGCTCGGCACCTAGCCCAGGTGCGCTAGTGTGTTTTTTAACAAGAGACCCGGCCAGGAGGGCAGCTGCTCCAGGACGGCTGCGACTGAGGCGGGCCCGGGCGTGGCCAAGGTTGAGGGCGGGGTCAAGCTTAGGGGCGGAGCCGACGCCTGGTCGGCTGCAGAGCTCTCCAGAGCTCCTGCTGCCGCGATTCGGTCTGGGACCCGGGCCACCCACGGGGCGGTGGGTGCTCTTTGGCCTTGGGCTCTGCAAAGTCCTTAAGGTAAATCCGCCTGGGAGACGGGCAGCTAGAGCGCTAGGGAACCAACGACGGGGGCGGGCGGCTGGCTGGCGGAGGAGGGGAGCGTCCCGCGGCGAGTTTCCCGAGAAAGCTGAACTCGTCCCAAGCTTCTTGTGCATCAGTTTGCACCCGGCGAATTGGTGGCTGTCTCTTTCCGTGCGGGTGGTCTTTGGGCGCGGGAAAGACGGGGAGGTGATTGGATTAATCCGCCTGGGCACAGCCCAGATATCTGTACTGGACTGCTCGGCGCGGTGGGCGCAGTTTTTGCCCCAGAAAGGGCGGGTAATTGACGCGCAGTTGTGTCCCGCGCGGCAGGCGGGTGATCCCCGGGCTCAGAGCGCGCGTGTCAGCAAGGCGTGCCTGGTTGTCCGGCGGCAAAGTTTCATGACTTCTTTCCTCTTTAGGCAAGACTCACTGGGTGCTCTTCCCCCCCCCGCCCCACCCCGGGGCTGACGCCCGAGGCTCTGCTATGGACGGCAAGACCGAAGTAGATTTTTCCAGCAACAGCTTAACCCCTTTGTGGCGGAGGCGTTCAACCCCTCAGTCCCAGCTGCTGGGCCGGAGCAAGCCGAGGCCCCAGTCCTACCAGAGCCCCAGCGGGTTGCTGATCACGGATTTCCCGGTGGAGGACCGAGGAACGCCCCCCGCGGCGCAGACTCCGGCCCAGGTGCCCACCGCCTCCGACGGCAGGACGATCCAGAGGAGCCCCCTGCTTCTGTGCGCCCATCGGAGGTTGGTGACCAATGGGAGGACCGTCTCCCCGGAGTACAGGGCTGTTTCTCCTCGGCTTCGACGGCCCAAGTCACCCCAGAAACCCAGAGCGGCGTCGGGCGGCTACCCCAAATCCCCAGCGAACGGCACTGCGACTTCGCCCGCGCAGCTGCCGCTGCACCGCCCGCAGACTCCTCATGCGTCTGCCCCCTGCAGCCCCGAGGGGGACAGGGCCGGATTCCCCGCCAGCCCCCTGCTTTCGCCTGCTGCAAGTGCGCTTATCCCTAATACCGCCTCCCCAGGCGCGCGTTCGCTGTCCGGCCAGATGGCTAAGGACCCTGAGCGGGGACCTTCGAGACTCTGTCCCGCGCCCCACAAAAGGTCTTTGGAGCAAAAACTCCCCCTCCAAAGGCTTCCCTCACAGGAGAACGAGCTCCTGGAGAATCCTTCAGTGGTTTTGAGCACAAACAGCCCCGCCGCCCTCAAAGTGGGGAAACAGCAGATCATTCCGAAGAGTCTGGCCTCGGAAATTAAGATAAGTAAATCCAACAGTCAGAATGTGGAGCCCCACAAGAGGCTGCTTAAGGTGCGCAGCATGGTGGAGGGCCTTGGAGCGCCCCTGGGCCCCGCAGAGGACGAGGGCGAGGCGGAGAACGACTTGGACAGTCCGGGCTCTCTGCGGAGAGGCTTGAGGTCCACGTCCTATCGCAGGGCGGTGGTCAGTGGCGTTGATTTTGACAGTCCTACCACCTCGAAGAAGAAGAACAGAATGTCCCAGCCTATTCTGAAAGTGGTAATGGAAGATAAGGAGAAGTTTTCCAGCCTGGGAAGGATAAAGGTAAGAATGGGCAAGAGTGTCGCAAGTTAGGCGTTCACTAAGCCACAGGTGAAGGTGACGGGGGTGGGGAGGAAGGGCACAGAGGAAACCAGAGGTTATTGTTATTTTTATTTTTATTATTTTTTTTCGGTACGCGGGCCTCTCACCGTTGTGGCCTGTCCCGTTGCGGAGCACAGGCTTCGGACGCGCAGGCTCAGCAGCCATGGCTCACGGGCCCAGCCGCTCAGCGGCATGTGGGATCTTCGCGGACCGGGGCACGAACCCGTGTCCCCTGCATCGGCAGGCTGGACTCTCAACCACTGCGCCACCAGGGAAGCCCAATTTTTTAATTCTGTGGTTTGTTGATCAGACCCGTGCACATTTGTCTCTTGCCCATTCTGTTGCTGGCAGGCACAGCCCAGTTTAATGCAGCTTCATGAGAGGAACTGAAACTCTTATTGTTTTAATTTTCTAAGTTCGGGCAAAAAGTGGGGGACAAATGAGGAAAAAAACACAGAAAATTAAGTATTGGCTGAGTGAGCCCCGAAAAGTTTTAACACAGGTAGCTGAAAAGGGGATGGTGGGCAGGCGTGGATCTGCACTCTTGATTATGTGGTGGCGCTGCCTGGTGCTTGTTTAGAAATGTCAGTCATTCGTTGCTGATTCATCACAGCTGATACAGGAAAAACCGATTTCCCTTGAGCCTATTGATTATTTTAATTACTTACACTAGTGATTTAATTACTGAATTATGTTTTTCAGTGGTGATCACATACTAAATACCATTCAGGTAAAATTTAAATTTTAAAAGTCAGTTGCCAGATCACAAAAGACATAGTTTGTCACCTTTGCTGTTTTTGGTTTCTCTCACCACTGCCTGTGGTTGTATCTTATTCCCATTTTGTGCCCACTTAATCCTTGAGTGCATTTAACAAGTTGGTAGCTGAAAACTTCAGGTTTCAATGAATGGTATGGTGTTGCTCCCAGATAAAGGCCTAGGAGCTGTGCTCAATAAAATATTACTAAATATGACATAAAGAAATAGGGAAAACTAGGGAAGGAGATTTTGGAGTGTGCATGTGCTGTCTTCTCCAGACACAAGACAGATCTCAGCAATCGGGCAGGAATTCATTTTGGCAGCCACATCTTTTCTTGATTAATCAGAGAGTCTATATAAATATCACATGTGTAATACACAAGCAAGCCTGTTTTATTTTAGATCCCATGGCCTTAAAGAAGTTCCATAATATTTTATGTGTTCTTTTTTTTCCCCTCCAACTCTGCAAGTATAGCAAAGTTCAATTTAACAGTGATGGTGAATCATGAGTAATGAAATAAGCTGGACTACTGGTCATTTGAGGATTCTCAAGCTGTATTGACAGAGCATGGGGGATGTTGTACATTTTATTTCACCTTTTTGGTGAGTTGTAGTAGTGTTACGAGTGAACTACTCCAGGGATCATCTGCTGTATGCCTTTGGAAATCTAATGAATGTAACAACAACAAAAAAAATACTTTTTCTTAAAATAGCTGTATTTTCTGTTTGGCTCATTCATACATAGTTTGCTTTGCTTTTCCTCTTTTTGCTTTTCTTGTTTCTTAGAAAAAAATGCTGAAAGGACAAGGAACATTTGATGGGGAAGGTAAGCATTTGATTTTCCAGACTTTTATTGCTGTTTCAATGTGGAATATCAATTATAAGTTGAAATCCAACTGAAGTTACAAAAAACTCAAGATGAGAAAAATGTACAACTTCTTCACAAATTATACAGCACAAAGCTCTGCGCTAAGCTCAATTCACCAGCAGTGAGTAAAGTTAATGGCATTCTTTGTAAGCAGATGACTTTGTCAGACCAATGTTCTGGGATTTTTAATTCTTCTCTACTCTGGCTCCATCCCCACCTCCCTCAAAAAGTGGAGAAAGAGTAAGGGCAAGCTCTAGCCCTTTAGTTAAAAATTAAGTTTGGCATTTAGATCTTAAGTCGTGTTTCCTTTGACTTAATGTTCTTTTCCCCATATTTCTACATTTTAATATCATTTCTGACTTCCTGTTTCCTAATCCAATTTCAATTTGGGGGAAATCTAACTCTCTTGGCTGACAGAAACATACTCCTAAGAATTTCGAACCCATATGATATTTTTGTGAAGGATCTCAAAAATAAAAGCAGCTTTCACCAGGTGTTCAAACCCTAATCAGATTAGCGGACTTCATGTAAATAGATGGATCCAGTGTCAGTGGTCTGGAAGGGCACAAAGGGAGAAGCCCCAGGTGCAGTGCTTGTAGGGCTGGGGGAGTGTGGTGCAGGTGAGGGTAGTTACTTTCTGTCATGCTTTGAAATGCTAAGATTTCCCAACCTTTAAAGAACAATGAAGAAGGGTATGCCCCTCTATAAGTAAATCTAAGGTAAAACCACCCAGAATTATATCACCTTGGCTGACTACAAAGCATTTCCTTTTACAATTCTTATAAACATCAGTTCTCATTGGATCATTTAAACAAGACCAGTTTATAAAAGTGTATTTACTGTACCAATCTTAGAAAACTGTTCTCTATGAGGCAGAAACCCAGATACAGTATTTTAGCTGGCTGGGATAACTTCAGATTTTATAATTGAGGAAACTAGAAGCTCGGAGAGTTTAGTACCTTGTCCACTTTCACACAGCCAGGACTAGGAAGAGATCTGGTTCTTAGTCCCGTTTGCTTCCGCTTATACCCCGTTATGACTGTGCAGTGAACAGAGCATCTACCTAGTATCAGTTCTGAGAGATGCTTTGCATCTTCTGGAATTTGATAGTGGTTTTGGGACCTTTGCCTCAAAGGGTTAAAAATGTCGAGCTTTTGTGAAGTCCGAGGACAGACCTTCACTATAACTAGTTTTATGTTGTTTCCTTTTACAAGGAGCTGTTTCTGTGCACCCTCTCCTCTCTTCTCAGATATGATGACCTAGAAATTCTTTTTCACATATATGTACATGAGGAATGCAGGAGCCTTACAGTTAATGACTAACAAGAATGTAAGTCAGGAAGCTGTGTGGTAGAGTGGTGAGAACCTGTGGTATTGGAACCAGGGGGCTGAGTTCCTGTCCTGCTGCTTCTGCTCATTAGTTGAGTGACAGTGAACAAGCCTCTTAACTTCACTGAGCCTCAGTCTCATCGTGGGTAAAATGAAGTTAATGCTATTGCCCACGTTGTTGTGAGAATGAATGAATGTATATCAACAACGTCTGCATATGTTTTGTGCCACACACTAAGTACTTTAAAGGACACCACAGAGGTGGGTCTGTACCCTCATAATCTGCTTTACATATTTAGAGCAATCAGAGAACAGGAAACTATTGCATAGACTCCAGTATTACTTTAGTAATGGTGCCTATGGAACATGCATTGCTGAGAGATGAGGCAGATGTTTGCTGGCTTCAGTAGATGGGAAAAGCATTTCAAACTCAGTATATCCCAAGCCAAACTCATAATCTTTCCTCTAAAGGTGAATCTCTTCTGGAGTTCCCATTTCCTACTTCTCCACTGTGGGACTTATAGAGCTAGGAAACATCCTTACCACCATATCCAGTTGACCCCCATATCCAGCCCATCCCCCCAAGTCTCCATTGTCTTTCAGTGACCACTTCAGTAGCATCCTAATTAGTCCCTTAAGTAGTCAATATTTTGCTTTTCCAGTCTAATAAAGTCCTTTCCTTTTAGTGGATTCCCATTGCAATCGGGATAAAATACACCCCTTACAGTATGAAAGAAACTCAGTCCTTTTGGACTCAGGGTAAAATACAGTTCTTTAACATTGCCTGCAAAACTCTCCTTCTTTGGACTGTCTGGCTCTTCCCCTTAAACTCACCTTACACCCTTTGTGCGCTAGACACCCACACTCCAGTGAATGACCTTCCTTTGTTCTTTTAAGGTAACATATGACCTCTTGCCTCAGGGCTTTTACGTGTGCTTTTTTTCTGTAACTCTGTAGTTTCTCAGCTTTCAGATCTTAAGATATTCCTCATTAACACCTCAGTGACCCCCAGACTAGATCATATCCTGCTGACAGTCTGTTCTCAGAGCCCCTGTATGTAAATCTTTGGGTTTGTAGGTATGTATTTGTGCAAGATCATTGTGTCCTCAACTCTAAAATGACTTGTCTTCTCACTTGGAGTAAAAAACCAAAGCCCTTTCAATGACATTGAGGCAAGTCTGCCCTCTATTCATCCCAACCCCCAACTCCTATACTTTCTCCCCTCCCTTACCCTATTCCAGCCACACAGGCCTCCTTGCTGATCCTTGTACATATAGATGCACCAAACAGACTCCTGCCCCAGGGCCTTTGTACTTGCTGTTCTCTCTGATGGGATGTTCTTTCCCCAGCTGTACAGGTGGCTTACTTTCTCACTGCTTTTAGATCTTTGCTTAAATGTCACCTCTGTGAGGGCTTCCTAAACCACCCTGTTTAAAATCTATGTATCACCCCTTGTAACATGCTCCTTCTTTCCCTGTTTTATTTTTCTCCATGGTACTTATCAGCATCTGATATATTATAAAAGTTACTTGTTTATTTATTGTCATTCTCTCCTCACTCTGATGTCAGCTCCACAAAGAATGAGATTTTTATCTTTTTCTGTTGTTCGTTGCTGTAGCCCCAGTGCCTAGCAGTCGCTAGCGTCGAGTAGGCATTTTCGTTTTTTTTTTTAAGTAAGCATTTTCTAACTATCAGTTGAATAAATACATGAATGAATGACTTCGACTATTTTTCTCATTAAATTTTTAGCTCATGAGGGCATGGGAAATGTCTTTCATTTTCTGTTTACTCTCAGCCCTTGGCACATTGTGGATGTACAGTAAATATTTGTTAAATAGATAGACAAAAGGGTGTAAATTCAATTTAACCTAAAAAACAGTGATGTAACGGGACATGACCTTCATGGGTAGTGGACAGAGACATGGAAACTCTGCTTCAGTTGGCATTTCATGTATGGGCCCTTCCCCTTCCCCTGCAGATGAATTGGGGGTAGAGCTGTGTGAGTGAGAAAATCACTTTTTGGTAATGACTCTTCAGTGACAAAATCCATTTGTCTTTTGTTTAACTGGAGACCAAACATCGTATACGTATAAATACAGATGTTTGTTTAGAACAAGTAGCATCAAGATGGGGGGGCAATTAGTGACATGTAAGATTTGGTTTTCTTGCAGAAAACGCTGTTCTGTATCAGAACTACAAAGAAAAGGCCCTTGACATTGACTCTGATGAAGAGTCAGAGCCTAAAGAACAGAAATCATACGAAAAAATTGTGATTCACCATAAGCCACTGAGGCCTACGTGGAGCCAACTCTCTGCGGTGAGTGTGTACCTTCTCTTTTTGTATCTGTGGGAGTGAGAAGACCAAGTTGTGGACATTATGCCTAGTTGTGGTTTTAATTTTTTCTACCAGTGATTCTGTAACCCTAAGGAGAAAGACTCTTCTTTTTAGATTGTGAAATATTTCTTGAAACTCTGCAGGCACTAGTGAGAACATGAACTTTGACAGTTCTGATCAGGAAAATTTATCAGGTTTTTATAAAATAAAAGACTGATGTACCATGGACTCTGGAAACTCTTCCTACTCAGTATCTTTTTTTTTTTTTTTTTTTTTTTTGCAGTACACGGGCCTCTTACCGCTGTAGCCTCTCCCGTTGCGGAGCACAGGCTCCGGACGTGCAGGCTCAGCGGCCATGGCTCACGGGCCCAGCCGCTCCGCGGCATGTGGGAACTTCTCGGACCGGGGCACAAAGCCGTGTCCCCTGCATCGGCAGGCGGACTCTCAACCCCTGCGCCACCAGGGAAGCCCCCTTACTCAGTATCTTTTCTTGTTTTCTTTATAGAGTGTGTATGTAGTGGTAGCTTAATATATCCTGAGCTTTATCGTAATTATGGCTATATATACATATGTATATGTGTGATATATGTATATATGTATATGTACCTACGCACAACAGGGAACTTATTACACTTCTTCCTTGGAAATTTCATTTGATAGGGACACATTTATATTTTCTTGAAAATGGTTAATGAATGGCATTCTGTTCTATCTCCCCGTGTGCATCTTTTGTTTGCGAGTATCTGACACTTACTTTTGTGTTGATGAGTAATTTCTCCTCTCTGCATCAAACATCTTTTGTTTTTAGCTGTAATTTTTTTTCCTCCTGGCTTAACAATGTCACAGTGTGATGCTTAGTTTACTTAATGTGACTTTGGGTACAGCATTTGTGGGCATCTGATGCATTACCAAGTAGGAAGGAATTCCCGTGGCTGGCTTGGGTGGTGGGAGCGTTGCATGAAAAACAGGCCAGTGCACCTCTGTGAGTCCTTTGGCAATATGGGAGCAGAAGTGATTCCCTCTTAAGCCGAAATGAGCATTGTTCAGAGTCAGGAATCTTATGGATTTAGGGAACCCATCAGCATAAGTGAAAAAGTTGTATATGTTGGCGCTCATAAATTTGACCATGGAAATGGGTGCATGTTGATAATGGGGATGACTTCTGGCTCAGGCTCTTCCTCCCCTCTTCTGCCCTGTATTGGAATTCAGAATTCTAGAAACCAAGCCCTTTCTTCCTGTCTCTCTCACACCCCCTAATTTTGTTCTAAGGAGAAGTTATGTATTTCCACTCCCCTCACGGTGTGACACAGATTAAAATGCCTACGGGGCAGAGCAGGTGGTGTTATAAGTGATGCTGGTGCTGGTGAGTGTAGGTGAGGGGAAGTGGCGGGGACTGTGGTCCATAGGCCTTGTATGAATTGAGCAGCGGACACTTAGTTCAAACCAGCCCCGTGTTACAGTATTTTCTGATATTTAAAAAAGAGAATACAGAAAGCCAGATTTTTACGAGTATTATCCTAATTCAAGTTTTAAAAAATGTTGTATTAGGGCTTCCCTGGTGGCGCAGTGGTTGAGAGTCCGCCTGACAATGCAGGGGACATGGGTTCGTGCCCTGGTCCGGGAAGATTCCACATGCAGCAGAGCGGCTGGGCCCGTGAGCCATGGCCGCTGAGCCTGTGTGTCCAGAGCCTGTGCTCCGCAACGGGAGAGGCCACTACAGTGAGAGGCCTGCGTACCGCAAAAAAAAAAAAGTGTTGTATGAGCCCAACAATATCTATGGGCCAGACTTGGCTCCTGTGCTAACAGTTTGCAACTTCCGTGATGCTTCTGTGAATTTTGCAGTGGTGAGGTGGTACATCTGTCCACAGAACCGGCATGTTGGTAGCCTTATTCCGTAATCTGATGACCTTGTGGTATTATATACCAATGCAGATACTTGGAAAAACTGGTGACAAGGCCCACACAGGCCAAGATGGCTCTAAATGGCTGTCATTCCATTGTTGGTATGGACCATTTGGTAGAAGATCCTCAAGAAGAAAACTGTGGATTTTTTGAGTTCTTTCTCTGGGACAGCAGCTGCGTTTGTTAGCACAGACCTAAATCCTTCTGTTGTTCTCTGAATGCTAAACAAAAATGTGTACTTCTGTGTCACTTACACTCTGCTCCAGCTTAGCTTTAGTACCAAAAACCAGGCTGCCATATTTATGCCTCCTGGAGTTTGGCTTTCATTTAGATTAACAAATGCACACTGAAATAATACTACATATCCTTCAGTACAACTTCAAATATGGGCATGTGTTTTATTTGGCAAAGGATCAATGTGCTGATGCGCCTTTTGTTAACAAGATTGATATCAGAAGACTATCTGGTAATAAAATGTAAAGCTATAAAATGGGTTCTGACTGCAGCGTGTGTTATCTTGGATTTGAGTGTTCCCAGGAGGCTTGTGTGTATTTATTGTGTTGATGGCAATTACACTTAATCAAAGCAGCATGATTGGACTTTGCCACTTTGCATCACTTGGGCACCAGCCTGCATTTTCTTTGTGCCTTTTGTGTCTCTGTTTCACTTTTTTTTTTTTTTTTTTGCGGTACGCGGGCCTCTCACTGTTGTGGCCTCTCCCGTTGCAGAGCACAGGCTCGGGACGCGCAGGCTCAGCGGCCATGGCTCACGGGCCCAGCCGCTCCGCAGCATGTGGGATCTTCCCGGACCGGGGCACGAACCCGTGTCCCCTACATCGGCAGGCGGACTCTCAACCACTGTGCCACCAGGGAAGCCCTCTGTTTCACTTTTAAAACATCTTAATTTTTTTTTATTATAAAGTACTTCAAGCATGTAGAAAAATTAAAACTTAAATCTGTGTAATAGATTTCCAGGTACCTGCCATCCAGGTACCAGCTTGAACAGATGTTAACATTTTAACATATTTATTTCAGGCTTTTATTTTTTGAGACAGATTCAGTTAACCGTCCTCCTCTCCAGTCCTTTTCTCTTTCCTTCCTCCCCAGGGGTCATCACTGTCCTGAAGTTCTCTTCTGTCCTTCCCACGTGGGTTTTCTACCCACTAAAAAGTTGCAAGCAGCTCTGGCTTTTAGGGAAAACAACAGAAAGCAGCGATTACTTTTCTAGAAGCCTAGCAATTAGTAAATATCCAGGTTGCAGTTAGGACCCTAAAGAGAAGAGGCTTCATGAATTATGAAAAATGTCAGGATGTTTTCTGTAAGGGGTAGACACCTCCGTTTCTCTCTCTGACCTTGTGCCCTGATCTCTCCTTGTAAAGGGGCTACAGTGTTTAGGGCAGGTTTTGGAACACTTCGACTTTCCATCATCTTTCCATGCTTAATTTTTTTTTTTTAAATAAATAAATAAATTTATGTATTTATTTATTTTTAGCTGTGTTGGGTCTTCGTTTCTGTGTGAGGGCTTTCTCCAGTTGCGGCGAGCGGGGGCCGCTCTTCATCGCGGTGCGGGGGCCTCTCACTGTCGCGGCCTCTCCCGTTGCGGAGCGCAGGCTCCGTAGTTGTGGCTCACGGGCTTAGTTGCTCCACGGCATGTGGGATCTTCCCAGACCAGGGCTCGAAACCGTGTACCCTGCATTGGCAGGTGGATTCCCAACCACTGCGCCACCAGGGAAGCCCCCATGCTTAGCTTTTAATAATACCAAATAAGTAGGGTAGTCCCCATCCTGTCTTTAACACAAAAGTCTTCCTCGAGTAAGGCCTTGATCCCAGAAAGGGAAGAGGACAAAGGGTTTTCTGGCAAAGGGGTTAGGTCTCAATTTGGCATGTATCTTGACTTTCTACTTGGGAAGGGTACGTGTGAGCACACCTGTGCATTAGCTGCTGTTGATTGTTTTATTTTGTAAAAATCTCTTATCTTTTTTTTTTTTTTTTTTTTCTTTTTTTGGGCCTCTCACTGTTGTGGCCTCTCCCGTTGCGGAGGCTCCGGACGCGCAGGCTCAGCAGCCATGGCTCATGGGCGCAGCCGCTCTGTGGCATGTGGGATCTTCCCAGACCCGGGCACGAACCTGTGTCCCCTGCATCGGCAGGCGGACTCTCAACCACTGTGCCACCAGGGAAGCCCAAAAATCTCTTATCTTTATTGCCAACACATGACTGCCTCCTGAGGTGATGAAACTTTTATCAGTTGACTGTAAGAAGCATCCAGTATGCAGGAGACTCTTTAGAAGAGCCGCAGTTTGCAGTCATTTCTGGTTGTTGTGTAAGGTCCTGAAGCCTTCAGTCTGTATGTAATTTGTCTTTGTGTGTTTGTTTATGATGTGTCTCCTTTGGTTTCATTGGACAACCACGAAAGGTGGTCCTCCGTGTATGGTGTTGGGACAGGTTTAACTGTTGCATTGTGGTCACCTAGGAATGAGGGAGAGTTAGAAATGAGTAAGAGAGGCGTTTAGTTGGGCCTTCATAGAATAGAGAAAGTCTAGGCTTCCCTAGTTGGATTATAGTGACTTAGTGGTGAACGTGGGTAGCAGTGTGGCTTTGCTGACAGGGTCTCCATGTAGAAGTGGGGTGTTCTCCATTGTCAGGAACACAAGCTGAGCTCCATGCTGTCATGAGATGGTGCCAGGCTTGCTCTTCCTTCACTTGCTTGTCAGAGGATATTGATCTACTCTTCATCAGAAATATAGGATTTCTTCATTCCAGGGAACATAACTTTATGCTGGCCTTCAGGCCTTGGGGAACACTAATATATGAGAAATAAATGATCGTGGTTACCAGGTTTTAGTTGGTCATAAGTGGAAGAAATTTGAGGTTTCAATTTGAAAAGTCATTTTTGTCCTCCAGAGATCTGTGCCCAGAGATAAAGGAACCGGCCATACACAGGTGAATGGCCCAGCGACTCACCTAAAATGACATCGTGAGGACTGAGACAGCAGTTCTTGGATCTCTGGGCAAAGCTTGTGGGTTTGAAGAAAAATATTGATTGTATTATTAGTGTGGGATAGAACACTGAGTACCTGCTAC